GTGGAGGAGCCTTGCCTCCTACTCCTGTAGCTCACTTGCCTCCTGTAGCTCTCTGCTCCTTGAGGAACACCACCAGAAGGCACTGCTTACATTGCAGGCACTACCCCACCTGGAAGGAACCTGCAAGCTGCAGTCTTCACAGCACCAAACCAGGACCTGGATGGAAGCCTAGATGGTTTCATAGTTGTTTCATAGTTGGTAGAGTCGGAAGGGCCCTGAGCAGGTCATCAAGTCCGACCCCATCCCATGGGCAGGAAAGAATGCTGGGGTCAAATGACCCTGGCTAGGTGATTATCCAGCCTACTTTTGAAGACCCCCAGGGTAGGAGCCAGCACCACTTCCCTTGGAAGTTGGTCCCAGAGCCTAGCTGCCCTGACTGTGAAGTAGTGCCTCCTGATGTCTAGCCTGAACCTACTCTCAGTCAACTTATGGCCGTTATTCCTAGTTACTCCTGGTAGTACTCGAGGGAACAGGGTCTCTCCTGTTCCCTGCTGGTTCCCCTTGGTAAGTTTATAGACAGCCACCAGATCCCCTCTCAGCCTTCTCTTGTGGAGGCTGAACAGGTTTAGGACCCATAGCCTCCGTTCGTAGGGCCTGCCCTGCTGCCCCCTGATCATGCTGGTGGCCCTCCTCTGGACCCTCTCAATGCTGTCCACATCCCTCCTGAAGTGCAGCGCCCAGAACTGGACGCAGTACTCCAACTGCAGCCTGACCAATGTCACATAGAGGGGGAGGATCACCTCCCTGGACCTGCTCGTGATGCATGTGTGGATACATAACAAGGTGCAGTTAGCCTTACTGACCACATCTTCACATTGGCGGCTCATGTTCATCTTGAAATCAATAGTGACTCCAAGATCCCTTTCTGCCTCTGTGCTGACAAGAAGGGAGATCTCCAGCCTGTAGGAACGATACTGGTTCTTTCTCCCTAGGTGCAGTACCCTGCACTTATCAGTATTGAAACCCATCCTATTCTCATCCACCCACCCCTGTAACCTGTCCAGATCTAGCTGTAGCCTGTCCCTCCCTTCTAGCGTGCCCACTTCTCCACACATCTTAGTGTCATCCATGAATTTGAACAAGGTGCTTTTCACCCCCTCATCCAAGTTGCTGATGAAGACGTTGAACAGTGCAGGCCCGAGGACCAAGCCCTGGGGGACCCCACTGCCCACATCTCTCCAGGTTGAAAATGACCCATCCACCACCACTCTTTGGGTGCAGCCCTCCAGCCAATTTGCGACCCATCTGACTGTGTAGGCATCGACACCACAGTCACCTAATTTTTTAATGAGAATGGGGTGAGAGACAGTGTCGAAGACCTTCCTAAAGTCCAGAAAGACTACATCCACCACGACACCTGCATCTAAGGATCTTGTGACCTGGTCATAGAAGGCAACCAGGTTGGTCTGACAGGACCTGCCTCTAATGAACCCATGTTGGTTGCCCCTAAGCATACACTCCCCTGCTGGCCCCTCACAGATGTGCTCCTGGATAATTTTCTCAAAGAGCTTCCCCAGGTCAGAGGAAAGACTAACAGGCCTATAGTTTCCTGGGTCCTCCTTCCTCCCTTTCTTGAAAATGGGGACCACAATGGCCCTTTTCCAGTCCTCTGGCACCTCGCCAGGGCACCACAAGTGCTTGTAAAGCTGTGCCAGGGGTCCCGCAATGACCTCTGCCAATTCTCTCATCACCCTGGGGTGGAGATCATCTGGACCTGCTGATCTGAACATGCCCAATCCCACCAGAAGTTCCCTGACTAGGTCCTTACAGACCCTGGGCCTGGCTGTGCCTCTCTTGGGTCCATCCGGAATCCCAGTGAGGAGGATGACACGGTCCCTGCTCAGAAAAATGGAGGCAAAGAATTTATTAAAGAGGTCAGCTTTATCATCTGGTGCAACCACCAGATCTCCAAGCGTGTCCTGCAGGGGCCCCACGTTACCCAGTGCCTTCTTTTTACTCCCTAGTAAAAAGGTGAACAGTCCAACCTAGACAGACACCTCACAAGTGCAAGCAGAACTGACCTGTGAACTGACTTGAGAACTGCTAGCAAACTGCCATTTGCTGCCCCTGTTTTCACCCTCCCTGGTTGCTCTGGGAATCTCATTTTATACCCTGCTGGGCCTAGACTGACTCCACCCCCTTGTTAGGACTTTCGTCAGACACAAGCAGCAATCACCCAGAAATCACCCAGCTAGCAGCATTTCCAGCAGCTCAGAGCATGTGCCCAAAAACTCAGCCCACCAAGCAAATACTCAGCAAGTCAAACATGCAGGCAGCCCTGGCTCACTTACCTTTCTGGAGTAGTATCTGCTGCCTGGCTCCTCTTCCTCTTTTCCTTCCCCTTCCTCCTCTTGCTCCCAGTGAACTGCTTGCACACTGCCCTGTTTTCTGCCCCTGGTCGCTCAGGGAGTCTCCTTTTATACTCACCTGGTCCTGGACTGGCTCCACCCCCTTTTTAGGGATTTTGTCACATGCAGGCACTAGTCCCACAGCAATTACCAAGCTAGCAGCCTCCCAGCTGCTTCAAGCACACACCCAAAAACACAGCCCACCAAACAAACACTCATAAAGTCAAACACACAGGCAGTCCTGACTCACTTACCTTCCAAGAGCAGGATCTGATTCCTGGCACCTGGTGCCTGGATCCTCTTCCTCTTCCCCTTGTCTTTCCCCTTGCAAACTGTCCTGTTTGCTGCCCCAGGTCATTCACTCCTAAAGAATGTCTTGAAGAATGTATTTTTCACACCTTACTTTCAAAAACTTGTCTAAACTGTATCCCAATTACATAGCTGGTCCAATAAAAGATACCACCTCTACTTCTCACATAATTTCTGTACCATCACTGCTACAACCTCATTCTTAACTAGAGACAGTCTAAGTGATTATATCTGTTCTTAACCAGAAGGTCAACTATCTATTTAGTAAGAAATAACTATAATGTTGGTATGTGGAGGGGGAGCTCTACCCCAATAATGGCTTTTGGAGCCAAATCTGTCTTGCAGAGCACACATCCTACCAGACTGAACCCTGCAAACAGCAGGTTGGTCTACGCTGCTCCTTCACATTTTAGGGTAGTAAGAACAGAAGGAACTGAACAGCAAATCTGAGAAGCTTCTAGTACCACTTGTCCAATACTAACATGTTCTGCATCTTTCATTCAGGTCTTGTCCATCTCCTTGTAACTCACTTTTTTTTTAACCCCCTTTTTCTCCTCATAGGTATCCTTGGAAGTTAACACAGTCTGGCCTTTGCTGTTTTACAAAGCAGCAAGGCTTTGCAATGGTTTTAGAAAGACAATGTAGATGTGTTGGTACCATGAGTTTGGTGTGACTATATTACCCATGAGCATACAATTACATAGGCCATTACCAAGGACCAGTAACAAGAGAATGGTACTACTTCGTATTCCATATTATACCAGAGGCATAAACAAAAACAATTTTAGAAATGTTTAAAGGAGTTTTAACATGTTTATATTGGTGCCGTTACTTTTCACCTTCTACATGGGAAGACAATTCCTTTAATTCTGCCATTCGCGCTATGCAATACTGAGGGAAAGAGAGAATGTGTATAACCAGCCAGTCTTAGTATCTCAGCTAGAAATTTGAATAATCACCTATCTAGTACTGATGGTCAGCATGAATTTAAACCTGTTACTGGTCAAAATTTAAACTTCTGTCTCTTATGTGCCTCAAGCCAATTTAATTCATCTTCCTCTAAGGATGAAGATTCTACATTTGGGGTAAAGAAGGAAATATGTTTGGGGTTGATTACTTGAGGAGGGGTTATAAGGAAAGACCCAGAGGTGTGAAATATTAGAATGTTACCAGATCAGGAGGCAGAGTACAGGAGAGGTAGTCAGAGGTACATCAGGTGATGAGAAGAACATGAAAAAGACAGTTTTGTATGCAGCTCTGCCATTTATCAAATAGCTACTATAATCATACATGCATTGCGTAGATAGACAGAAATAGCAAGGCAACCATCTATCCAGTCAGCTAGCCGACTGCCTGGATAGACAGATGGGTAGTGCATTTAGATAGTGATCTAGGATTAAAGGCAGTGCAACAAATCATAAATTCTAAGTAAGTCTAAGATGTCTCTATTTGACAGCATCATTTAATGGGTAAGAGGCAGTTGAAAAATGTAATATAGTCCCTTGGATTCTTAACTAAAAAAAGAATAACAAATGCTGAAAAACTCTGCCAAACAACAAAGCTTAAATTTTATACATGCTCATCAATTTAACCCTAAAACCTTAAAAGCCTGCGGGTGATCCCAACGCCTTTAATACCAAAGGCCCTAACTATGCCACAGATCAAGCACCAAGCCCAAGCCTGCTTTGTCTGAGAAAGATGAAAGCACTCTCAAACAGGTGAAGGCTTTTTTTGAATCATCACCTGCAATTAAGCAAAGGAAAACTAAGAGCAGAAGAGGTAAGCTGAACTTGCTTTAAAAAGACACCCCGGGAACAGGTGGATGCTTGCTAAGGATGGTTGTGGTATCTGCTGTCATTCTTTCACCAAATGATGTGCATTCATTGGGATTTCCTGCACGTTAACAACAGATCACTTGGTGGGAAAATGCGGTGGGGGCTGCAGAAGCAACATAAAATATTTCTTTCTATGTTGGTCTGGAGAGTGTGCTGCTTGCTTTGTTGCTGTAGAAAGATCTCAAGCAACAGCAGGGTTCTATCAGCTTAAGGTAGTACTGTAAAGCATTTTGTTCAGAACGCAGAGGATCATTTATTACGCTCCCTTAAAACTACCTACCCCAGGGTTACCAATTTCCTATTGTATCACTGAAACAAAACAAATTACAATTAAAAATAATATTAAAATCCATTTCAACATTGCCAAGCATTTCAGAAATCTACAGAATTAATCTGATTTAATTAACTTTTGCAGGCACATAGATTTAGGATGCATCTAAAGCATAAAGGACCAATGGCTCTCATTTGAAAAGGTACTGAACATCCACAGATCCCACTGCCTTCCATTTCATGTCCTATACCAAAAGAATTCCATAGGATTAACACCTGTTAAAATATCCCGGATGACTTCTGGCAAAATTCTTCCCTTTCGTGTCATTCACTACTGACAAACTTTCCTACTTGCCACAAATAAAATCTTCTACCCCAAGCCAACCCCATCTCTTCTACTCACCTGTTCTCCAGAAGAACCTACACCAGGTAAGTGGTTTATTAAGAACAGCATAACCACACTTCCAGGAGAGAAATAACTGCCCCAGTTCACGTCACCTTACTGACAGCACCTTGTGTCAATTCACTTTTGTTTAACTCATTAGGCTGCTAATTTAGCAAATCAAATGAGTATTGCACTATTCTCCTACCTTACCCTATAATGATGCCCTCTATGTACCCAGGTAATATAAGGTCTGCCTGCATGCATTTCTTTGCAGGAAAGGAGCCCTGAAATATAATGCCTGACCTCAAATGATCTCTGTCTCATTCTTCTCCTCATCAACTTCCAACTCTACTGAGTTAATGCCAGGTAAACTTGGCAGCAAGTCACGACACCCACCAAATCTTGATATTGACACACCAAGAAGAAAAGCAGCAAGTGTCATGGTCTGGGCTGGACACCAATAGAAAAGTTTCCTGGAAAGTTATGATCACTTGGAAAGAGCAAGTTTTGCAACCAAACTTAAGTGTAGCTTTTCTACAAGCAAAACCTGCCATGCAGGGTTGGTACTGGGAGGGAGGCAGGAGGGAGAGATTTGTCTAAGTTTCTGGCCATAATAAATACTCCTGATCTGTGCACTGACAGCATGAAATGTACAATCTGAATAACAATTTCAGATGGAGAAATATAAAGAGAAAAATCAATATGATCAAAATACATAAATAGAAAATTAATGGAGAGAGCTTTTATGCCTGCCTTGGAGTACTCCACCATAAGACCACACAAAATGTGATGGGGCTTTCTATTTTCTTTTTTCTCCTTTGTATTTTTCAAGTCATCGTTGCTTATAATACTCAAGTTGTATTTCTTCTGCTTTGCTTCCTGTAAAATCAATAACAACAATCAATTAAAACTTGTTTTCTACCAACTGGCTATTATTTGTGATAATAATGCACAGAGCAAAAAAGATCGCTTTATTTCCTTGACCTCTTTGGTGCCCTGATGAATATTGTATCTGTTCCACCTAGAACTGAAACCACTGTTCTTCTTTCTCTACCTGAACCCCCTCCCTGATTTGTTGTCAAATACTATGAAACAAGGTTGGAAATTCTTGCCATCTATGAATAATTGCTTTTCGTGGCCACATTACATCTAAGAGATGATGTTTTGTTTGCACTTAACTCAGCACAGAGCACCACCATATTAGGCTGGGCTAAATTCAATGCCGATTTAAACTTTTTGCAGTTTCACTGAACATGGAAAGGCTATAGTAAGCGTAAGACAACAAGTCTTGTAATGCCTAGTGGAAACCCTTTGCAGTTCACACCAACAGGAAGTTTTACTTGTCCTACAACATTTGGGAACCATGATGCGTGTTGTTGGGTACCTGCAGTTAGCTATGTACCCTTAGTCTCTTCTAGCCTAAGTCAATACAAAAAGTTGACCTTAAAGCTGACCAGCAACCTGTACAACTGTTAGTTGGTTTCTAGGTATAGTGAGCTGGGGGCTGTAGAAATACAGACTAACCCCTCCTCTGATGGAGGTTATGATTTTAGACAACTTGAAGCAGTCAATATAATAGACAAGAAGAAGAGCAGGAGAAGAAAGCACAATTGGGAATATGCATTAACACAGGCCAACTGGGTACACAGCTGGATGGGACGGAGTCAGAAGGTTGTGTTAGACATGTTAAATCAGTACATTCATTAAGAATGAAGCATTTGAACACAAATGTGCCTGCAGCTCAGAAAGGAATTTCAGGATTTGATTACACAGGCCTATTTTCTACCTGCTAAATAGAAAGCAATCCACTCTTTACTTTTTGTGAAATAACAGGATTTGAAGGATTCGTTTGTTTATGCACTTAAGTTAGGATTTATAAAGGAAACTAATGGAATTTGGCTCCACGCTTCCTACACCTTTAGAATATTCCCTTATTGTGCATCCATATCACCCATCCCTATAGTAACTAGACAGATTTGAGTACTTAAAAAGGAATATATGTTGCCAATAATTAGCTTGAATCAGACAAATGGTTCAATGCATGATGGAATAATAGTCTTTGACCACAATCCTAATGCAAGTGAAAAGCCAGCATGGACAAATTTACTTTGCATTGCTTCTTAAAACCACCGAACTGAGAAGGGAGGCATATGGGATACCAAAAGTCACAGATTCCAGACCTGGAGAACTGTTCTCCTGTAAGAATTCCCTGCTATCTATTATACAAACTGGTAGACAGTCATCAAGAGATTTATAGTGGTATAGTTAATGCACAGGGAAGGAGGCATTCACAGGTACCCCAGCTCCTTCTAAAAGACAATTATGCCTTCCAAATGGACTGGACATTTGGGACGTTCTTTAACGTTTGAAATGTTACTTAACATTATCTCATCTTCTTTAGTCAGATTTGTTTCCTTGAGCATGTCTGTACTGCTACTGTCACACATCTGACCTGAAACAGCCCCCAAAACACCCCACAGACATGCCACTATCCCAGAAACATGCCAGGAGAAACATTCTAGAGTCTACCACAGCTAGGAGGACGGGTATCCATGCAGCATACAATCTGAGGGCCCAAGGTCTCTACTAACATGGCCCACAGGGTGCATGGCTTCCTACCGTTTAGAAGTTGGCACAGCCCTGCCTTACCCTATCACCATCATCGTTGTCTAGATTGACCTCATATAGCTAGCTTTCATTTAGGTCTTTCATTCAGGCACTCTGAAAGCAAAAAAACTCCAGAAGTAGAGCCAAAAGCAACTACAAAATGCTTTTAACATCCTCTCTGGAGAAGGCAAATTTAGCTACTGGAGTTTCTCAGTGCAGCCAACTGGCTTGTATAAAATATGGGGAAAAATGAAAGTGGCAAATAGCATTTTAAAAGGCACATTAACAATAGACAAAAAACCACCAGCACACCATCAGCTTCTCCAACGTGCACACTACAGACTTCTCAGATTTCAGTCAATCAATAGCAGTCAACAGTGCCAAAAGAACAGGTTAGGGACTATTTAGAAAAGCTAGATGTGTACAAGTCCATGGGGCCAGATGGGATGCATCCGAGGGTGCTGAGGGAACTGGCCAATGTGATTGCAGAGCTACTTTGAAAACTCATGGTGATTGGGAGAGATCCTGGATGATTGGAAAAGGGCAAATATAGTAGCCATCTTTAAGGAAGGGAAGAAGGAAGATCCAAAGAACTACAGACTGGTCAGCCTCATCTCAGCCCCTGGAAAAATCATGGAGCAGATCCTCAAGGAATCGATTTCTAAGCACTTGGAGGAGAAGAAGGTGATTAGGAACAGTCAGCATGGATTCGCAAACGGCAACCTCATTGCCTTCTATGATGAGATGACTGGCTCTGTGGATGTGGGGAGACCAGTGAATGTGATATACCTTGACTTTAGCAAAGCTTTTGATATGGCCTCCCACAATGTTCTCAAAACAAGCTAAGGAAGTATGGGTTGGATGCATGGACTGTAAGGTGGATAGAAAGATGGCTGGAGCATTGAGCTCAGAGGGTAGTAGTCAATGGCTTGTTGTCTAGTTACAGCTGATATCAAGTGGAAGGTCCCCAGGGGGGCAGTCGAGGCCAATCTTGTTCAATATTTTCATCAATGACATGAAAGTTGGGATAGACTGCACTTTCAGCAAGGTGGCAGATGACACTTAGCTGGAGGGAGTAGTAGATACAATGAAGGGTAAGGCTAGGATTCAGAGGGACCTTGATGAATTGGAGGATTGAGCCAAAAGAAGTCTCATGAGTTTCAATAAGGACAAATGCAAAGTCCTGCATTTAGAATAGAACAATCCCATGCATCAGTAAGGCTGGGGACTGACTGACTAAGCAGCAGTTCTGCAGAAAAGGACCTGGGAGTTACAGTGGACAGTAAGCTGAATATGACCTAACAGTGTGCCCTTGTTGCAAAAAAGGCTAACAGCATACTGGGCTGCATTAGCAGAAATGTTGCCAGCAGATTAAGGGAACTGACTCTTCCTCTCTATTTGGCACTGGTGAGGCCACATTTAGAGTACTATGTCCGGTCTTGGGACTCTTGCTGCAAAAAGGATGTGGACAAATTGGAAAGAGAGTCCAGCAGAAGCCAATAAAAACTGCTAGGGGGGTGGGACACATGACTTATGAGGAGAGGATGAAGGAACGAGGCTTATTCAGCTGGGGGCTGACTGGCTGGGAAACAGCTCTGCAGAAAAGGACCTGTGGGTTACAGTGGAAAATAAGCTGAATATGAACCAACAATGTCCTTGCTGCCAAGAAGGCTAATGGCATACTGGGCTGCATAGGTAGAAGTGTTCCCAGCAGGTCAAGGGAAGTGATTATTCCCCTCTATTCAGCAGTGGTGAGGCCACATCTGGAGTACTGTGGTCAGTTTTGGGCCCCCACTACAGAAAGGATGTGGACAAATTGAACAGCGTCCAGTGGAGAGCAATGAAAAGGGTGAGGAACATGGGGTACATGACTTACAAGGAGAGGCTGAAGGAACTGAGCTTAGTTAGTTTGGAGAAGAAAAGACTGAGGGGGGGATTTAACAGCAGCCTTCCACTACCTGAAGGGGAGTTCAAAAGAGGATAGAGCTGGACTGTTCTCTGTGGTGACAGATGACAGAACAAGGACACAAGTTGCAGCAAGGGAAGTTTAGGTTAGATATTAGGAAGAATTTTCTCACTAGTAGAGTAGTAAAGCACTGGAACAGGGTACCCAGTGGTGGTGGACTCACCATTCTTGGAGGTTTTTGCGACCTGGGTAGACAAAGCCTTGACTAGGATGATCTAGTTGGGGATGGTCCTGCATTGACCAGGGGTTTGAACTAGATGACCTCCTGAGGTTCCTTCCAACCCTAATTTTCTATGCTCCTATGAAATATATTTGTTATATATGAATATAACATTTCAATATGCATAGCCCTTTCAGTATATGAAACCCTAGTTATTACACCCTAGTTAAAGGAATACTATTATGGGAATCTCTTGTTAGAATAATGGCAGCCATCACTGATGAATGTGTAAAACACGTAGAAGTACATCAATCTTGATTACTTTTTGCATACTTGATCAGTGGCATTATAGGTAATAATGGGCCATAATTTTCAATGTACCCTTTTTAATTGCATATGTTTAGGGTGATTTTGGAGTTTCAACTGTCTGTATTTTAGTTATTCATGTTAAAATACAGTTTAAATAGTGATAAAGCCACAGTCATTTATAGGCCACTCATTAAAATTAAAACTCTATTCAGCATTTTGTAAAGGAGCTGATGTCCTCTTGCTAGCATGATGCATTGGGAGCAGAAAGAGCTCTACACAATGTAGTGACATAGCTAAAGATACCTGTTTTGAAAAACAAAGGTTTTTCAACCTTTGCAGGCATTGTACGTGCAAGATCTGTAGTCTTTGAAATGTATACTTCATATGATCAGTTCATATCGGCAATCTAACTTAATTATAAGACAGAAGAACCTATCTTAAATCTATCTAATGAAAAATAAATTATGAAGAAGAACTTGTTGCTGGGCTGCAATTTTTCTTCTTTTTTATTAAGGTAAAAACCTAATTTAAAAAACTGAATTAATCTGTGTGTGTCAATTAGGTAAAGTTTGTCACAAAGGCACCGAGAATCCATTTTTCATAGTTCTCTGAGACCTTGCAAAGTACATTTAGGAAAAAAAAAAAGCAGCATTCTCTTTACGCAAAATAACCACCCTCTACAACCATTTAATGAGTTCACCTCTCCTTTCTGTCTTCTTAGGTACCTCCATGTGTTTCAATTTTGCTTTCGGTTTGTGACTTCCGAATGAAAATACCTTTCTTCGTGGGTGAAAAACAAATATTTTCTTCTCCACTTTGCTCATATGTTTCCTGGTG